GTAGATTCTTATAATCAGTTCCCCCTCTCTACCCCACCCTTCCTCCACCCTCCTGGTATCGCCACTCTCACTACTGGTCCTGAAGGGATCATCCGTCCTGGATTCCCTGTGTTTCCTGCTCCTATCTGTACCAGTGTACATCCTCTGGTCTAGCCAGATTTGTAAGGTAGAATTGGGATCATGATAGTAATGGAAAACTTCCTGATGCCAGGGACTTAAGTGGAGAGCAAATGTTTTGAGAATGATGAGGGCAATGAATGTACAAGTGTGCTTTACATAATTGATGTATGTATGGATTGTGGTAAGAGTTGTATGAGCCCCTAATTAAAAAAAAAAAGTAATGGAAAACTTCTGAAGTAGCATGAGAAGCAAAGAAAAGGAATTCTTAGCAGAACTGTAAAGTTGACAATGTCACTTTAGGATGTTAATTAGATATCAAAAGTATCATTTTGTGACCATTTTGTTATTATCATGTTGAGCTTGTTAACAATGATGTTTGATGTTGCCCTAAAACTACACCAACTGATTTTCCTTTCTCAGGTTGCCTGGGGGTAAGGGATCATCACGGAACCACAGACCATGGACGCGCTGCTTCTACCTGCATTGGAGACACGGCGGCGGCGGGCGCAGTCCTCACTGGTATTCCGCTCAGGGGGCTCCGGGGGCCTTTACGGGCAGACACATTCTGTCCCGCTCCACCTGCCAAGAAAAGAAAAGGGAAGGTTTATGTGCTGCTCCCTTTTAAAATAGCAAATAGTAATTCCTGATTGTTGACTTCTTTGGTGATTACGAAACTATTCCTAAATGTTTCACATCCTGTTTTACTCTTTTCTCCTCTGGAATTGGAGACACGGCGGCGGCGGGCGCAGTCCTCACTGGTATTCCGCTCAGGGGGCTCCGGGGGCCTTTACGGACAGACACATTCTGTCCCGCTCCACCTGCCAAGAAAAGAAAAGGGAAGGTTTAGGTGTTGCTCCCTTTTAAAATAGCAAATAGTAATTCCTGATTGGTGACTTCTTTGGTGATTACGAAACTATTCCTAAATGTTTCACATCCTGTTTTACTCTTTTCTCCTCTGGAATTGTGCTGAATTGGGTTATGAAAGAGGAGGAGTTAGCTAAATGGGGGATTGGTCTTAGATGGAGGAAATTATGGAAAAACAAAATGTGGTGTAATGGCAAGAAAGGAAAGGGAAATTCTTGCTCAAACCATTTTCGTTCACTCATTTCCATCTCTACAGCGGAATGCCCTTATAGGGCTTTAATAACTTTTAACACTTGAACACTTAGAGTTTTTTTGAGCTTCAATTTAGTTGCAAACTATTTTAGCAGGGATAACTAGATACACAGAGAGAATTGCTTCTTACTTCAGTCTTCTAATATAATGGACATATTTGTTGCAACAGGAGTGGGATATTGTGAATAAATGCACGCTGTTTCTTCTATTTATTGTATGTATGTATATGCATTTATAAGGTACAAATGCACATCGTTCATATGTGGATAAGAGCAAATATATAAGAATTATGGGTCAGCCAGACAGTTCCAGAAAATGTCGAGAATGTATCAAGATCAGGAATGACAGATCAGCAGGGTGCTCACACACAATACTAGACAGAAGAGTCTAGCAGCATATTGCAAGAGGATTATGGCCGAGGACCCAACAAGAAAGCCAAAAGCATATATTAAATTCAATGCTCCATCCCCTAAGGGATGAAGTCTTTGGCTTACCCTGCTAATTGTTCATGAAATGTTAAGAAGGTGAATAGGAGTGATCTGAATTTCATGGACATACGAGGCAGGAACGAGAAACGGCAAAGCAGGACTTGGAGGTAAGGAAGAGGTAACCTTGGAGGGAAAGAGGAAATTGTCTTTCCGTTAAACATAAACCAGACCCTGCAATGTCTCACAGGAGCCTCAGCCAGGCTCTTGCAGACAGTGCCTGTATAAGGCATGATCTAAAAAGAGCCCTTTTATTTGTGTCCAACTTGGACCTAGTGTAGAGACAGGCTTGGTACATTGGGTCAAGGTTTGATGTTTTGCTTGTAAAACAAAATGTAAATAAATACCTGGACGTCCCAAGTCAAACGACTTGATAAGTGACTTAACAGTGGTTATAGACTCTGACGATGTTGGGGATGTTCTGCTAACATAGACACCATGCCACCGGCCAGGAGCATCCACTTCGGAGGGCTCTGACTCTTCATTCGCAGGTCTGCGCGGTAAAGAGCACATCAAATTGAAAAGATGGAGGCTGTTCCCGTAGGAAGACAGACAGAGATGGACACAGAACCAGTGAGAAGGTCAGTCTGGAAGGAGAACCCTAACTTTAAAAGCCTTTCTATATACAAGCCTTGTATCTTTAGGAATGAACACAGTTACTACTTTCAGTTTTGAAAAAATGGTATGTTCTTGGGAATGGTCAGAATCCATTTTCTGTGTAGATTGGCTTTACATTAGCTCCAAGTAAAAAGTATATGAACCTAATTTTCAAACTAAAAAGCTGTACAAATGTTATTCATCATAAATATTTGGCTTGGTGGCTAGCACACAATTGCCTTGTCAAGGTGTATTGCTGTCTAGTATACCTGTTGTCACCGAGTCTATTCAGACTCATAATGACCCCGTAACTGAGCATAATACTGACCCAAATGGTTTGTAAGGCTGTAATCTTGATGGAATCAGACTACCACATCTTTCTCTTGTGGAGTGGCTGGTAAACCACACGCCTCTCAGCCCTGGCTCGCTTTCACCAAGGCTCCTCCACCAAGTATTCCACTGTCACTGAGGCGAATGAGGACTCAGAGCAGCCCTGTAGGGCAGAGCAGGGCTGCCCACCAGCACGTCCAAGGCTGGAAATCATTATGGAACCAGAAAGCTTCACCTTTCTCCCCTGGACTGGCTAGTCAGTTTGAACTGCCAATCTTGTAGTTACAGCCCCAATGCATAACCCACTAAGCCATCAGGGCTCCTTTGATCCAGTATGAGAAATTGGGTTGCTAACCCAGAGTTCGAAACCCACCAGTCGCTCAACAGGAGCAAGACGTGGAAGTCTTCTTCCATCGAGATTACAGCTCTGGAAACTCTATAGGGCAGTTCTGTTCTGACTGGATGCCACCCGACAACAATTCTGACCCTATAGGGCCACTCGAATTCAGAAATAACTCCATGGCAATGGGTCTGGCTTTCTATCTGTGGGAAAACGAACTGTACATTTTCCCAAGAATCCTTTGCAGCTAGGATTTCAGATGGCGTTCAGGTTTCCCCACATCAGAAATGGCCAGGAGGCCTGGTGGCAGAGTGGGCTACACGTTGGGCTGCCAACTACAAGGTCAGCAGTTTGAAGCTAGAAGCCACCCCTTGAGAGAAGCTAAGGCTTTCTACTCGCATTACCATCTCTGAAACCCACAGGGGCAGTTCGGCTCTGCCCTAGAAGGTTGTTATGAGCCAGAATCGACTCAGTCAGTGGCAGTGAGAGTGAGCTCAGAAACAGCAGGGCACAAGTGCACGCATGATATTGATAGAGAGACAGCAGAGACAGGCGGCTCAGTGCTGCCACCACTAATGGTCGGTTTCCAAATGGGCATACAGCTTTTGAGTTTTTAAGGTTCCAGCTCCTGGTGTAGAGCCCTAGCGGCATAGTAGTTACACATTGAGCTGTTAACCACAAGGCAGCAGTTCAAAACCACCCTCTGCTCCTCAGGAGGGAGACAAGGCTTTCTACTTCCAGACCTATTGGTGGAGTCCTACGGGTACAGTTCTACCCTGTCTTCTATGAGTCAGAATCAACTCTGGTAGCGAGTTTGGTTTCTCGGTTACTAGCTACAGGGTTACTATGAGTCGAAATTAACTTAATGGCACTTGAATTTGGCTTTGGGGTTTCATTCCTGGCCGAAGCAGCAGCCTCATGGTGACTCAGTTCTGTGTCGTGACTTTGGGAATTGTTCCTGGAAGCGTAGCCTACAGTTCCTTGCGTTAGGTCTCTCGATAATTCTCAAACCAACTTGAGTGCAATCCTTTATATAGAACGGAATCCTGATTTATGAGACCAGTGCTCTAAAACAACATGGCAATTCTGCAAGAGGTGAAACAGACTCTCACCCACATTTCCTGTTATGTCCAGTGTAGTTTCTAAATTCATCTGTAGACTCACAGAAGACTCTTTCAGAGAAAGAGCATCTGATTCACTCCTTCATGCATGACTTCCTCATCCAGGGGACTTGAACATGTCATTTAATCTTCCTGTGAATGAGCCAAGACAAGAATTCCCAATCTTCTGATTTCTAAACCATTGCCCTTTTTATTATATCAAATTGCCACGGCTGTTTTGCAAGAAGATGACTAACTTATGAGAGGAGCTCAGAGATCTCTGGCAGTGTCCTTTAATAAAATTACTGGACATTTAAAATAGTCATTTCCTGATAGTTTTGAAATTAATCGAGCTACTCGTGAGGTTCTACAGTAAAATTTATTTGTCCTATATTTGAGTAACTTCTTCTTGTTGTGCTGCAATCAACATTAACGGAAACAAAATTTTAAACCCTCAAGAATCTTACACCCATTTCCATGGCCTGTTTCCATGAGGGAAGAAGGAAAAAGAAAAAGGTAGTAAACTAATGATTTCTTTCAGAAATACCCGAGGCATTTCAGAAATTGTAAGGGGTTGGTTTTTGTATTTTCCACATTGTGTGATAGTATAGAAGACCACGTGGTGAACATGAAAGAGAAAGAAATCAAGTTAGGTACAAGTTGGAAAGAAAACCTTATTTCCACACCAGCCATTCTGGGAGAGTCAGACCCAGGATGATGGGCCACTCTCTCACCAGCCCACCTAAATGATGTGGCATGAAAGTGCCTGGTAGAAGCTCCATGCTCCAAGTGCCTTGAAGGGTGTTCCGTTTGAAGAATCCATGTTTATTTCATTGACTGATAATTTATTAGAAATAAGATGGAGCATCTGACATCTTGCTGAAAAATTCTCTTTAGTTATTTAAGTTACTCTGTGATTCATAACTTTAGATGATCACTCAATTTCTAGTACTCAGGCATCTCAAGACAGTACTCCAAACCACCAGGCTACTTAGCTAAAATAAGAGTCAAGATGAGAAGATCCTGCAAATTATTTAGAATTTTAGCATAGAAGCAATTAGACTAAATGCCCACCACATCATATAACAGTGATTTATGTGTGTATGTGGGGGGGGAGGGAGGACGTACACACAGAACACAGGCTGAGTTGAAAGAACCACAGAAAATAATTAAGAATGCTATGGAATAATATATGTATTAACTCCCAATTAATAAAAAAATTCATTAATAAAACAATGCTACTGGCTTTATTAATACTTTCATCACAAATACGTTTGTGTTCCTTATGCCAACCTACCTTCGAATTGTTTGGGATTACCTAGCAACAGTGTCAGTATTAAAGAAAATATTACATTTCCTCTGACTCACAATAGAGTAAGAACTTTGCACGCTATTTTATCTTTAATGTAAGCACATAACCAGTGACAGCTCAGCAAACTCATTAAATCAAAGGGAAAGTGTTCAAGGCTAACTAGCTATTTGTCTGATGCAGCTGTTGGGTTCTAAAGATAAATCTGTAAGATGAAAATTACATATATAGTCAAATGACCCTTGGAAAACCATTAAGTCACCCAACTGTACCGCTTACACAGTGCACTGAAGTGAAATTACTCGATATAGTTCTCCTATCCATTGTGCTGATATTTCTTAACGACTGGGTGGAATCACAAAAATAAGGTGTAGGGGACTTTAACTCCTGGTCCATTTTGCCCTTCTGGTGGTTATAAAAGAGAGCCGTCTCAGAAGGAGGAACAGAGGCGAGAGGTCCCATGACCAGCAGAAGAGGCGCCATTGCATTCGAATCGAGACCCCTGCCTGAGGTGGTGGAGGCCCCAGAGGCCCCCTGTAGGGGGCAGAGCAGAAGAGCAGTGCTCAGTCTGTCAGACAGAGGGGACTTCCCAGGCCCCTGCAGGAGCGAAGCAGAGCGCTGTCAGCTAAGAGGCTGGCTTTCAGGATGGAGGAACCTTAGGGCATTGATCAGCACTAATGGAGCTTTTGAACGTTTGCCCAAGGTAAGCAGAACTCCAGGGACAGTGTGATTGAGAGTCTGAGGACCAGCCCCAGATGTGTCTGTCAGGATGGCTGAGAAGAGGCGCTGCGGATAAAAGAACTATACTTTTTTTTTTTTTAAACCATTTTAGAACCTGTTAACTCTCCTAATAAACCCCCATAATCCTGAGTGTTGTCTGTGAGTCCTGTGTGGCACTGCCACAAATGAGGTGGTTAATGGTTTTCCAAGGTGTCAGAATAGGGCAGAGAAGGATGGAGGGTGGAAGCATGTCTGATCTGACCTCTGCTTCCCAGCAATCATCCAGAAGAGAGAGCTGAATTCCCCTTCCCCCTTGAGCAGCTAGAGGTTAGACATGTCATTTTCTCACGTGGTTTTGAAACCTAACGATGTACAAACACACCCCCTTCCAGGAAAACTAACAGTCACGTTTCCTAGTGTTTGTAATAGCTTGCTCCCGCTTCAGTTGCAGCTCCGACGACATGGCTGGATTGTTTACAGCGGCAGTCACGTGGATTTGGACAGAGTGACTCTATAATAGGACGGACTAAAACTCTTCTACATGGCTTTTGAGTCTTTAAATCATTATGGACTGTCCCGACTTTCTCCTGGGGAGCAGCGGGTGGTTTTAAACTGCCGACTTTTCCGTCAGGACATTTACTTGCTGTGATTAGGTGCCGCTGCAGAGTTGGAGCTGACTCAGCACACCTATAAAGAAGAACCTCTGCCCTGGCCTGGTAGCGCACAATTGTTACGACCGACCCAACTGTTGCAGTGGGGTGTCCCTCCCTCTCCTTGCGGGCCTTCCTCTCTTGTCACCGACGCTCTACTTTATGAAGCACGATGTACTTTTCCAGGGACCGGTCCCTTCTGATAAGAAGTCTATACGACAAGCCCTCACTCATTGCAGCGCCCACCTTTACAATATCAAACACGACGCACACTTTCCATCTGCTTAGCAGGTATAACGATGGCAACGGTTTCAGCAAGTTAAATGAGTGTGAGGCAACCCCACTGTACACACACCATACTATGCATCTTAAAACCTTGTCATTTAATTTCCACACAAGCTCCGTAACTTACTAGATTAAAAAAAAAATTGACACTTGATCATATGG